GTCACGTGACGCTAGTAACATGTCATGCACTTCTCGAACGTTCAAATCTCTTCCTGACTTCTCAAGAGCTTACTAGATTCATTATTCTTGTACATATAAGATGGTCAAGACGTGACGGCAACAATGTGTAATTGAACTGCGAACAGAGAGAGTATTGTTGAGTCGAGCACGTGAGACGTTCGTTGTGAATTATAGCATTTGTTATAGCGGGACTGTGGAAATTAAGTGTATTGCAAAGTTGTATCCAGAGAGAATAAACCAGTTTTATTTAAGAAAGGACTTGTATCGCTAAAGTTCCTTCGGAAAGAAGTTTTACGGAAAATTAACTAACAAACGGAGGCATAACAGTATTATAGTGGTATTTATCTATGTGAATAACTAGTTTTTTGTTGGTTTTTTATTTGTAGCAGTGCAAAATCTTAAAATGTGTTACAAGAACTCCATCGAGTAGTAGTAGGTCTACTTAAAGTAGGGCTAAAGACAAAGCTAAAAGAAAATACAGAAATCATAAATATGTAGACAGGTGAGTGCAATTTAGGGTCTAAATGTATACTACCTTTACAGTTGGATAATTACAAGGACTTTCATACTGCAATGTAATTATGTATGTCTTTTGAGTTCCCTTGAGATGGACAATGTAACAGAGGAAATCATGGTTGGGCTTACCAAAGGTAAACAATGAGGAGAATCTAGAACTTAATGGAAATGATCTTGGCTCAAGAGGAAGCTAGACATAAATGAAGATATTCTATTAATCATCACTCCAGACAACCATTGCTATTGAAGCTCAATTCAAAACTGGAGACCACTCAAATCCATCCCATTACTTGGTAGCAAATATAAGCCAGTTCTAACTGTAACTTAAATAGCAATAAATTTCCCCATGAATGGGATTCCAGTCTCCTGAAGGTTAATCCCAGCTACCCACCATAAAGCAGGATAGATTGAAACAATTGGTGTAAAGTGTCTTACTCAACAACACAATATGTTGCGAACAAGATATAAACTTCCAGCCTTTTGATTTTAAGTTCAAAATATCAGCCAATGGGCCACACTGCCCACCAGTAGAGTGGAATGAAATGACTGTCTACCCTTGCAAAAGCATCAATAATGGATGACCAATCTGTTCATACAACCACTAACAAACCATAAAGTGGAATGTCCACACTGTGAGAAGTTAAAAACTCAGGAAGAAAACTTGCTAAAATGTTCATTATACCAAGAAAATGACATATACAAAGGTCATTTGCTGAGCACTGAAGCCAGAGAATAAGAGCCAAACCTCAGAAATGAACAACACGATAGGATGTATATATAGGAACACTCAAACACACTTTGGTCATCAAATGATTTTTCTCAAAAAACTTTTATAAGACCATTATGTTTATAATTTGGAAAGGTGACTGAGTAAGGAGATGTCTATTGCAGGTCTCCAGTACCCTGCCAGCTTGGGAACAGCAAAGAGACAAAAGCAAAACCTGGAGATCTCAAGTTTAGATTTTATTATTACAAGACAATCTGAAAGTTCTTTATTCAGGAGACAGAGATAAACTTGACCCTGTGGATGAGAAAATGGAACAGGATGAGGGAAAATAAAATAAATATAGTGAAAATATGGAAAAAGGCCAGACTGAAGAAACTGGTGAACTCAACTGAATCAATTAATCAGAAGTGTCATCAGGAATAAGGTCAATTGATACTTTCTGTTCTTCCACTTATATATATATATGTAATGTTCAGTATTAGTTTTAATGATAGTCTTATTTATTTCCTACCAATAAGATAATTTTACAAAACCATTATTCATATTGGAATGTTATATTTTGGATTACAATGATAAAAATTATGTTAAAAAGTTGAACTGACAAAATTGTAAAAGAAACCTATTATGTTGTGAAGTAAAGTGTTATAAACATATTTATTTAAATACGAGGAAATAAGCATTTTCATATATTTCCTCAAGTTTAGATTATTTAATTACTTCATAATATACATCCAGATGTCATAAAACCACATTCAAGGGAGCTATAAGCTTGCTTCATGTTTAACTTAGGATGCTGCTTATTCAAGGTAACTCACTCAAGGTGGTTAACTAGCTAGTTCTGGCTAACTCAAAATCTCAGTCTGACAATAGCTTTTATATTAAAACTAGCATATAGCTCATCAAAAATAACAGGGCAAGTACTACTATCTCCACCCCATAGTATACCTTAACCTCATATTTCACAGCTAACTGAAATAAATAGATTTTGCAAAATCAAGCTTGAACAAAAAAGAGAACAGAAAGTGCATTCGAGGCAATCAATGTTGGTAAGTTTCTTTGTGGGCCAATCAAAATGAAGATCATTCATTAAATGAATTCGTGGTGTATTTATAGAATAATTATTGGTACAAAATCAGTTATATTAACAACTTCTATTATATAGAAAAGTCAATACGTTTTGGTAATACTACATTCCAACAATGGCTTTTATGTGATGTTGCTTAGCAACAAAAGTATAACCTAATATTGTTGATTGTCTATGTACTGAAAGTATAAAATGAAATGTACAGATAACAAAATTCGAAAAATATTTATTGATTTCATAATATAGAGTCTCCTTTGATTAAAGAGCTTTACTTTTTATTAAAAACATTGGCGATATAACAGAAAATAGCTTAATTCAGAAAAGATTTAAATTTAAAAATGAATCGATATTTCTACTTTCATGACAAATTTTATGCACTTGGCTCTAGGCTAGGTGTTCCCACACTACGTCTTTACTTTACTCTTATTATACCGACATTCACTACACTTATAAGGTTTCATGGTAATTCCCCCATGTTCCCCTCCTTTGACACCGTCACTAAAGTCATAATGAGAAAATGCATTTTGGCTTTTTTGACTCATCCTCTTTCAAGAAATCAAGCATAAAATGAGTTGCACTATTTGTGTAGGGAAGAACACAAAACATAGAAATGATAAAGATATACACTTACTACCAGTTAAAGCTTTATCTTCATTTTTCACCAATTTTATATCAAACAAAGCATCCTGTTCCTCATCATAAAAGGGTTCAATCTTCATCTTTAATATTTCCATGGTTACATCACAGATTCACCTTTATATTCTTATCAAAGCTTGCAGTTAGACTACAGAAAAACAGGTAAAGAATTAAAACTTTTATCCTTCAAGAAAGATACAAAGTTTTCAACAAATACTAATCTCAAAATTCAAATTATCTTGATAACTTTAATATCAGTTTATAAGCTTCATCTTATTTACATTATTATACAAATGCTGTTACAAGTGCTCTTTATCTCACATTAACTTATTTTGAAACAAAATGTTAGAAAGAGACCATGACAACCTACACAAATAGTTTTATGTAGCTTAAACATATAGATGATAACACAGGAGTAATTTTTATAACCCTTCTGTGATGATATATCTCACATATAAAACTACACTAAAACTTAATATCACCATAACTACTGAAATTCGAAACATTATGTGTATCATAAAAGTTATGTTTAAAATGTATATCACCTCTTTTTGTTTTAAACAAATTTGAGTTGTAAAATGTATTAAAAAGAAACATATTAATGGTTATCAAAGTTATAAAGATATTTCCTTAGAAGACTGTGATTTCTACAGCTAAATCTTACTAATTTCTCTATACTGTACTAGTTTTAAAAGCAATACATAAAATATTGTAAACTAAAATAACATGAGAAACTACATGTAGCACAAGAAAAAGTAACAGATGTCAACACAACAATTTATTAACTGCATATGTTTAAATTAATTCAGTGTTTAACAACTTTCAAAAAAAAGTTAAGCACAAATTAAACATTTGTATAGTGGCCGGAAAGATTTATCATAATTACTTTAAACAAAGTTACAATTTTCCTAACCTGAAAATGTATTTTAAATAGATACTCACCTTTACACAGAACAGAAAGTCATCATCTTGTACCAGTGTCAAGAGTTTTGTGTATGAAACCAGCCTTTGAAAAAACTTTCACCCCTACACCTATCAACATGTACTGCATCAATCTATGATGCAATCAGCATTAGATTTTGGCTCTCAACAAATAGGAAGACAACACATTCTACATGCAAAGTATTCCCCCTTTGCATATTATGTATGCCCAAAGATTATTCTTGATGAGGCAAAAGAGACATACCAGAAGTAGAAAGAAAGGGTGGATGATTCTGTGGAGAGCTGAGTATCTATCTGAAATGCATTTTCAGATAAGGAAAATATTAACTTCAGAAACTTTACTCATATCTCCACAGAATAACTAGCTAGAAAACCACACTTAAAAGAATTCAGAGAGACCAGTATGGATGATGAAATTTAAAAGGTGATCTCAATGAAAATATAACAACAGAAAAGAAAACTCATGGAGCTTGTCACTATGGAAAGAGGGTGCTGGTGTAGCATTAACTAATGGGAGTCTGCATCCATCTCATACAGGGAATACTTTTCACTGAATACAAGTGGTAGGCCACAAGGTTTTGTCAAAAGAACCACCTGCACAGTGCTAATGTCACAGATGTGGGCCAAATGCAAAGGCTGCTCAAAAGTCAAGCCATGCAGTATATGATAAATACGTGAACTACCTACCAGAATAAGCAGGTACAGAGATTTATCAACCCAGACATGCATCCTGAGGAAAACACAAAACCCATCCAGCTAGTCACAGCTTAAATAAAACTGGTTTATTCTTTCTGAATATAACTTTGTGATACACTTAATTTCAACAGTCGCGCTATAATTTTCAACGAACTTCTCATGTGCCTAACAATATTCTCTCTGACTGCAGTTCAATTACTCATTACACTGTTCCCGTCACGTTGTGAACATCTTATATATATACAAGACCAACACATATCTAGTAAATGCTAGGGGTGGCGTGATACTAGTCACGTGACCTCGCTGACGCAACACTGCCCCCTCCTTAGTATTGTTCGTCCCGAACAATAGCCACTTACAATAAACCAATAACAATTAACAATAACTTAATTAAATGTACAGAATTACAAACACAAAATTACAATTCAACAAAGTCTCTTAATTTTACGGGACGTACTGGTCTCCATCTCGTTGGCTTCTGCTTCACGTGGGGTTCATCTGCTTCATCAGGAAATGTCCTATCGTCGGTAACAGTCACATCAGTGGTAGTAACTTCATCAAGAGCTTCACCGTTTCCCTTCTCAAAACTGAGTAGAGTTTCTTCTTCGACAATGGCTTTTCAGGTGACACTTCTTCAGAAGCGTCATTTGTTCTGTTGTACACTTTGTCCCAACTGATAACGCCAAAGCCTGTTGGCATGCACCACTTTTGGCTTACCTCGCCGACC